GGATACCCGGCTGGCCTCTAAGTTATGGAGTAATCCTCCTGGTGCTGATCTCAGCTATTCTTGGGTATTAATCTCATACTTTGTTACTTTATATCCCCCAGATGAATGCAATCTTTCTATGTCTATCCCTCTCTTTCTGACTCATTTCGCTTAGCATGATACTTTCCATATTGTACCACTTGTATGTAAATTTCATGACTTCATCTTTTCTAAGAGCTACATAGTACTCCATTGTGTAGATGTACCAAAGTTTCTTTAACCAGTCATCTGTTCTTGGGCATTCAGGTTTCTTCCAGTTTCTGGCTATTGTAAAGAGTGCTGCAATGAACAAACAAGTGCAGATGTCACTTCGACTATACATTTTTGCCTCTCTGGGATATATTCCCAGGAGTGGTAATGCTGGGTCAAATGGGAGCTCAATTTCTAATTTTTTGAGAATCGTCCATACTGTTTTCCAGAAGGGCTGAACCAGTCGACATTCCCACCAACAGTGAAGGAGTGTCCCTTTCTCGCCACATCCACGCCAGCATCGGTTGCTTTTGTTCTTTTGAATGTGGGCCAGTCTCTGAGGTGTGAGATGGTATCTCATTGTGGTTTTGATCTGCATCTCCCTGATGATTAATGATGTAGAGCATTTTCTCATGTGCTTTTTTGCCATTCGGATTTCTTCTTTGAGAAAGTTTCTGTTCATTTCATTGCCCCATTTTTGGATGGGGTTGGATGTTTTCTTCTTGTGGAGTTTAACCAGTATTTTGTATATCCTGGATATCAACCCCTTGTCAGATGTGTATTCGGTGAATATCCTTTCCCATTCTGTAGACTGTCTTTGTATTTTGGTCACTGTTTCTTTGGAGGTGCAGAAGCTTCTTAGTTTAAGATAGTCCCATTTATCTATCTCTGTTTTCACTTGCTCGGCCAGTGGCGTGGCATCTTTGAAGATACCGTTAGCTTCAATGTCATGGAGGGTTTTGCCAACTTTATCTTCAATGTACCTTATGGTTTCTGGTCTGATGTTGAGGTCTTTAATCCATTTTGATCTTACTTTTGTACATGGTGTTAGGCAGAGTTCTGAGCCTATTTTTTTGCATGTAGCCGTCCAGTGATGCCAACACAATTTATTAAAGAGGCTTTCCTTACTCCACTTCACATTACTTGCACCTTTATCAAAGATTATATGAGCATATGATTGAGGAGAGATGTCAGTGTATTCAACCCTGTTCCATTGGTCTGCAGTTCTGCCTTTGTTCCAGTACCATGCTGTTTTAATTATTACTGCTTTGTAGTACAGTTTGAAGTTCGGGAGGTTGATTCCTCCCATTTTCTTTTTCCCAAGAATTGCTTTAGCTATTCGTGGGGGCTTATTGTTCCATATAAATTTCAAGAGTGTTTGCTCCATTTCTTTGAAGAATGTCATGGGTATCCTTATAGGGATTGCATTGAATTTATACAATGCTTTCGGTAGTATTGCCATTTTGACAATGTTAAGTCTCCCGACCCATGAGCAGGGGATATCTTTCCATTTCCTCATGTCCTCTTTTATTTCCTGAAGTAGCGTTTTGTAGTTTTCTTTGTACAGGTCCTTTACTTCCTTAGTTAAGCTGATTCCTAGGTACTTGATTTTCTGGGGCACAATTGTGAATGGGATTGTTTTTTTCATGTTGCTTTCTTCTCTCTCACTGTTTGCGTATAGGAAAGCCATGGACTTTTGGGTATTGATTTTATAACCTGCAACTTTACGAGTCTATTGTTTCTAGGAATTTTTTGGTGGAAGTTATTGGGTTCTCTAAGTAGAGTATCATATCATCTGCGAATAGTGAGAGCTTGATTTCTTCCTTTCCTACCTGAATGCCCTCAATATCTTTTTCCTGCCTAATCGCTATTGCAAGTACTTCCAGTACTATATTGAACAGCAGTGGAGAGAGTGGGCATCCCTGTGTCGTCCCTGATCTTAGAGGGAAGGCTCTCAGTTTTTCCCCATTGAGGATGATGCTTGCTGTAGGCTTGTGGTAGATGGCTTTAATTATGTTGAGGAAGGTCCCCTCTATACCCATTTTGGCTAGGGTTTTCATCATAAAGGGGTGCTGGATCTTATCAAATGCTTTCTCTGCATCTATTGATATGATCATATGCTTTTTATCTTTTCTTTTGTTGATATGGTGGATTATGTTGATTGATTTCCGAATGTTAAACCATCCTTGCATCCCTGGGATGAATCCTACTTGGTCATGGTGTATGATCTTTTTAATGAGTAGTTGGATTCTATTTGCTAGTAGTTTGTTGAGGATCTTTGCATCTGTGTTCATCAGGGATATCGGCCTGTAATTCTCTTTCTTTGTGGTATCTCTGTCTGCTTTTGGTATCAGTGTGATATTTGCTTCGTAGAAACTGTTTGGAAGTGTTTTTGATATTTCAATTTCGTGGAAAAGCTTAAAGAGCATTGGGAGTAAGTCCTCTATTTTAATTCTTAACATTCAAATATAACTCTTATATCTTGCCACATTCCTTAAATTCAGCTTAAATATCTTTTGGTCTTAAGGCCTCATAGATTTTAAAATTAAGAATTCCAAAGAGCTTGAGCTGGAGCAATGGTACAGTGGAAAGGGTGTTAGCCTTGCATACAGCTGACCCATGTTTGATTCCTGGCACTCCATTATGATTTCCGAGCCTTCTAGGATTAATTCCTGAGCACATAGTCAGGAATAACTCCTGAGCACCATCGATATGGGCCCCCAAACAATCAAACGACAATTAAAAAAAACTCTTTGACGTGGGTTAGATATAATATTTGCTACAAAAAAGAAACAATATCTAATGCTATATACAAATCTATTTTTAAAATCCAATAAACCATTTTGAGTCGGAAAGAGCGGGACAGACATAAAAAGATTGCATTCATCTGGGGAATACAAAGTAACAAAATGGGAGACTAACACCCAAGAATAACCAGGAGATTCACTCCATGGCTTGGAGGCCAGCTGCACACGCTGCGGGGAAAAGGCAGTTCAGATAGAGAGGGGAGCACCAAGTAAAGTGTGTTGGGGGAATCCTCCCAGGATGGAAGAAGCATGCTGCAAGTATACTACAGACTGAACATGATTGCCACTCAATGCCTCTTCGGCAGACCAAAGCACCCAAAAGGAGAGAGAGAACAAAAGGGAATGCTCTGCCACAGAGGTGGGGCGGGATATAGGAAGGTGGGGAAGGGATGCTGGGAGCATTGGAGGTGGGGAATGGGCACTGGCAGAGGGATGGGTACTCAATTATTGTATAACTGAAACCCATGCACAAAAATTTGTAAGTCTAAAAATATAAACCAATCAATAAATAAAATTTGCATGTCTGGTGACCTGGGAAAAAAAACAAAACAAAACAAAAAGAATCCAATAAACCATTTTCACATTAACAATAGCAACATTTAAAAATAAATTTTCCAAAATAAGAAATAAAAATGACTGTATCAGGAGGTGGAGTGATAGTACTGTGGGTAGGCATTTGCCTTGCACGTGGCTGATCAGGGTTTGATTCCAGGCAACCCTTAAGGTCCTCTATTCACTATTAGGAGTATTTCCTGTGTCAAGAGCCAGGAATAACACCTGATCATCGCTGGGGTGTGGTAAAAATAATAATAATAATAATAATAATAGTAAAGTGACTACTATACTTTGCATTACAAAGTAGCCTAACTATCTTTCTTAATAGACAACATCCTGAGTTATCAGCCCTTCTCCTGCATTTAAGTGTTTGCAAATGTTCTTTGAGTGGAAACAGTGCTTGGCAATATGAGATTGAAAAAGGAAAGACTCATCTGAAAGTTCCTGTGGTACTCCAGGTGTGTTCAAACCATAACAAGTACCATCTGCAAATTTTGTTAAAAGAGTAGTTTAGAAAAATTATTCTTTTAATTATGAAGGATAGGAGGAAAATAATGTAGTAGCAATAAAATATTAAAATGCTTAATGTTTTACCTGGGTTGAACTGTTAAAGTCATTTCTGTTGGTAAAAAGAACACATTTCAGTAAAATTCTACTTTAAGTTTTACTAAATTTCAATACTCTCTTTTAGGTTCATTAAAGATAAATAAGAAATTAAAGACTGAATGTAGAAAGTACCACACATATTTCTACAGTTTAATATATTTATCAGTTCTCACCACAGAGGCTTTTAGAAGCTTAAGTTTGCATTGGTCCTTAGCAAAATGACAAGCTCTCAGAGCTAAAGTTGCATGATTAATGTTCTTCAAGTATCTGTCCTAATCACTCCTCATTATATAATGTTTATACTTATATGTCAAGGATGTATAATGCCAGTAAATTAATTTTAATTATCACTGCAAATCCCTCATTCACCATTCTTTCAATGTACCTATTCTAAAATGAATAATATTCTTTTGCATAATTGGTTGCACATTTTAAAGATTCTTTCTTAAAGATTTCTGTATATTTTTATCATAAATATTTCAGAAGTCAATGTTTCAGGACTCCATTATTTCATTTGCAAAATATTGCACATTGTCTATCTTATTAAGATCCAAACAATACAAAGACATTTGGGGGTTAGTCAATGAGTCTTCAGTGAACTTTGAAGACCAGATAATAAACATATTTCATATGTCCAATCTGACAAGAAAGCTACGACTATAAAGGTACCACTACTGAAAACAGACACTAAATATATTTATAGATAAAGTGTTCAGAGCTTATCAAGTACTAGGTTGATCAAAAAGATCCCTAGAGCCCTGGAACTGAAATATTCTGCATATTAGGCTAGTTGTCAGAGGCACCAAAAAGGAGAGAAAAAGAGGACCACTAAGTTAACTACCAGGACACCTAAGAAAGTAAACTTGACAACAGAATTTAAAAAAAAACATTTAATACATTAATAAATATTTTAGTGTCACTCCTAAAACAGTAAAGGTTAATCAGACATTACCTTTTAGTAAAGGTTATCTTTAGTTACTTCTGTAACCTTTGCTAGAAGTAATCTTTTAAAGAGAGTTACTATCAGTGGATGGTAAAGTAACAATCTTGATTCCCATCTAAAGATAATATTAGCATATTTTTCTGGATCTTTATCAATTTGCTTAACTTTATTGAGTTTGTGCACACATTGAAGTGCAGAACAAAAGAGGCTGAAAGAGAAAAACCGCAATTGAGGTTATCAGAGGTAAGTGGATTATAAAAAGAGAGAAAATGGAGGCTGGAGTGATAGCACAGCGGATAGGGTGTTTGCCTTGCACACGGGTTCGATTCCCAGCATCCCATCTGGTCCCCTGAGCACTGCCAGGAGTAATTCCTGAGTGTAGAGCCAGGAGTAACCCTTGTGCATTGTCGGGTGTGACGCTCCCCCCCAAAAAAGAGAGAAAATGACTGGGAAAATTATTACAAGTAATTTGTAAGAGGCTGAAGAGGTTGTACTTGCTTCCACGCACATACACAAAAATTGGAGAAATATACAGATAATTTTATGTCTCTTGTACAGTGATGGCATACAAACTCATGACACATAATCTTATGAAGTATCCATATTTTAAAGAATTCTTCAAAGCAACAGTCCAAATGGTGCTGACTGAAATGATAAGTTTAGTGAATTAAGAACTTCAACAAGGACAAAGAAAGTTTGAGAAAGTACAAACAGAAACCATAAAGCAAAAGAATGGAGTCACTCAACAGCAGAATGTAAAAAAGTCCCAAATCAAATCTTCTTGATATAACGAAGTGGAAGTCATCCAGAAACATTAGAAAAAGAACAATTAAAAACAGTAAGGTAACATCCAATATTTATGGGACAATATTAAGAACAAGATTCATTTCAGATATGGGTTTCAGAAGGAAAAAGAGAGACAAAATTATTATTTGAAGAAATAATAGTTAAGCGTTTCTCCCAGCTGAGGAAAGAGATAACCAAGATCCAGAAAACTTGAGAATTCCAAGCAAAACAACCCCACTGGAATAAAGAAGGGATAATTGTTGGAGGTATCACTCAGGATGCGAGATTATGAACCAAACATGATGGCCTCTTAGTACCTGTATTGCAAACCATAACACTCTAAAGGAGAGAGAGAGAAAGAGGGAATGTGCCTGCTACAAAGGCAGGAGGTGGGAAGGGGTGAGGGTGGTGGGAGGGATACTAGGAACATTGTGGTGGAGAATGGACACCGGTGGAGGGATGGGAGTTTGATTATTGTATAACTGAAACATAATCATGAAAGTTTGTAAGTCTATATGTAACTGTTTATCATGGTGATTCAATAAAAAAAATTTTAAATAAATTTTTAAAAACAAGCACACACATAGACACATTAGAATTGAAGTCATAAAAATCAAAGATAGACTTCTAGGGGCTGGAGTGATATCACAGCAGGTAGGGTGTTTGCCTTGCACTTGACCAACCCACGTTCGATTCCCAGCATCCCATGTGGTCCCCTGAGCATTGCCCAGAGTAATTCCTGAGTGCATGAGTCAGGAGTAACCCCTGTGCATTGCCAAGTGTGACCTAAAAAGAAAAAAAAAGACTTCTAAAAGCAGTAAGAGGAAAGTAAAGATTCATAGGAACCTCCACAAAACTATCATCAGGTTTCTCAATGGAAACTCTATAGACATGAAGGAAGTGGCATGGCTTATACAAAGTGCTGAATGGAAAGACATCCAACCAGGAACATTTTGCACAACTAGATTATCACTCAGATTTGAAAGAGCATTTAAGACAACAAAAATTAAAAGAACTCATCATCACTAAAGTGTTCCTACAGGAAATACAAAAGGGACCAGGACAGAGAGTACAGACGCTAAGACATGTGATTAGCCCCAATTTGATCCCTGAGTACTGTCCCTGAGTGCAGAGCCAGAAATAGGCCTTAAGCACCAATTAATATGTCCCCCAAATCAATAAATACATAAGAGAAACACTAAAGGACTTTGTGTTTATGCAGGGCGGAGGTGGGGGAAGCCTCAGGGGACCATATTGGCTGCCAGAGACCAAACCCAAGTTATTAGCATACAAGGCAAGTGCCCTGTCCACTGCACTATCTCTCGGGCCCCTAGAGAGCTTTTATAACAGGCAAAGAAAGCCACTAGGAAATAGCAAGATGGTAAAAAAAAAAACTTTATATACATTATAAAATGTAGGAGAGAAAGAGAGTACTAATGAAGAACCATAATAAGTTCAATATATACTTGTTCTCATTTTAAAATCATTTTATTTGGGGCCGTACCTAGAAATAGTGTTGACTCCTGGCTCTGTGCTCAGGTATCACTCCTGGTGGGCTAGGGGGACAAAAGAGGGTCCCAGGGATCAACTACATGGAAGACAAGTGCCCTACCCACTGTCCTATCACTCTGGTCCCTTGATTTTTTTTCAGACCAGCAATAAACTTAACACTCTAGGTGTAAATCTTATGGTAACCTCAAAATAAATACTACAAAGGAGCACACAAATAAGGCAAATGGAATCAAATAATTATTCAGTAGTAGAAGGGAGGAGGATAAGTATAAGAAGCATACTAAAAAATCACGTGGAACCCACATAGAAAAATGGCAATAAACCTGTATACATCTGTACTTTCACTTAGTATCAATAGCCTGCATTCACGAACCAAAAGGCACAGACTAGACAATGGATCAAGAAATAAAATCTAACCCTGCAGTCTATGGGAGATCGGTAAGCTCCAATGTAGAAAGCTTGGAAAATAATCCTCCAGGAAAATGTCAGCTTAAAATAAAGTTAGCAACAGTCATTTGGCAAAACATATTATAAGAGACAGGGATAATGAGAAACATAAGTACATAACAATTAAAGCATCAATCCAACAAGTGGACTTAGTATTCATCAAAATATACACACCAAACGACAGAACATCAAATTATATAAAGCAACTATTAACATACATGCAGAGAGACAAACAGCAACATAATAGTAACGGGGAAATTTAACACCTGGGCCTCACCAATGGACAAAATCAACACGGAAACAACAATCTTACATTAGGAGTTGTTATACAAGCTTAATAAAAATTTATAGGGCTCTTCACACCAAATATATAAATACATATTTCGAGTGCACAGGGAACATTCTCCAGGAAAAAGTACATGTTGTTATACATAGTAAGTTTCAATAAGTCTTATATAAGTTATCCTTGGTGAATAATTGTTTTGATTTGCCTGTCCCTGAGCATGTGTGTGCACCTGTTGACCATCTGTTTGTGGAAGGATTTGTTCAGTTCTTTTCCTGTTTTTGATAGAACTGTCTTTCTTTTGAATAATGTGAGTTATTTATATATCTATTTCTATATAAAGGGCTTGAACGATAGCACAGCGGGTAGGGCGTTCGCCTTACAAGTGGCCAACATGGCCAACCCGAGTTCAATTCCTCCGCCCCTCTCGGAGAGCCCGGCAAGCTACCGAGAGTATTCGATATGCCAGACACAGTAACAACAAAGTCTCCAATGGAGACGTTACTGGGCCCGCTCGAGCAAATCGATGATCAACGGGAGGGCCTTTACCTTTTTACCTTTATATAAAGGTAATTAGGCCTTGTCAAATGTAAGGTATGCAAAAACATTCAGTAAGAATTAAAGTCCATTCTATAGGATTTATTTTTATTTTGCTGAAAGTTTCTCAATGCAGAACATTTTAGTTTGATGTAATCCTGTTGGGGATGGAGTGATAGCACAGCGGTAGGGCGTTTGCCTCTCGCACAGCTGGCCCGGCTGAGCTGGGTTCGATTCCTCCACCCCTCTCGAAGAGCCCAGCAAGCTACCGAGAGTCATTCACCCACATGGCAAAGCCTGGCAAGCTACCTGTGATGTATTCAATGCCAAAACATAGTAACAACAAGTCTCACAATGGAGACATTACTGGGCCCGCTTGAGCAAATTGATGAACAACGGGAGGACAGTGACAGTGACAGTAATCCTGTTAATCCTGTTTATTTTGCCTTTGTTTTCCTGGCCACAAAGTTGAATTCTGAAGACAACATCAAAACCAATATCATAGATTTCTCATTTTTTTTAACATATTTTATGGAATTGGATCTAACTTCTTAATTCTCTCTTTAAATTTTATTTATTTTCATTGAATCACTGTGAGATGGACCCTTAAAAAGCTATTCATTATTTGATTTCAGTCATGTAGTATTCCTCCATCAATGTACATTTCCCAGCACCATTGTCCCCAGGTTCCCTCCCATCACTCCTCACTCTTCACCCAATAGTCTGCCTCTATCGTGGGAGCTTTTCTTCTCTCTCTGTCTCTGTCTGTCTCTCTGCTTTTGAGCATTGTGGTCTGCAATATTGACACTGAGAGGTTATCAAGAATATCCCTTTACCTACTTTTAAAACTCAGTTCTTATCCAACCCCATCAAAAAATGGGGTAACGAAATGAACAGAAACTTTCTCAAAGAAGAAATCCGAATGGCTAAAAGGTACATGAGAAAATGCTCTACATCACTAATCATCAGGGAGATGCAGATAAAAACAACAATGAGATATCATCTCACAACACAGAGACTGGCCCACATCCAAAAGAACAAAAGCAACCAGTGTTGGCGTGGATGTGGCGAGAAAGGGACCCTCCTTCACTGCTGATGGGAATGCCGACTGGTTCAGCCCTTTTGGAAAGCAGTATGGATGACTCTCAAAAAAAATAGAAATTGAGCTCCCATTTGACCCAGCAATACCTGGGGAGGCAAAAAAGTACAGTCAAAATGATGCCTGCACTTCTATGTTCATTGCTGCACTGTTCGCAATAGCCAAAATCTGGAAAAAACCTGAGTTCCCGAGAACAGATGACTGGTTAAAGAAACTTTGGCACATCTACACAACGGAGCACTATGCAGCTGTTAGAAAATATGAAGTCATGAAATTTACATACAAGTGGTATTACATGGAAAGTATCATGCTAAGTGAAATGAGTCAGAAAGAGAGGGACAGAAATAGAAAGATTTCATTCATCTGGGGAATATAAAGTATCATAGTTGAATTTTAAGCATATTATGTTATGTCTAAAGGTCCACCGCCAGTGTCAGCTTTCCTTTATTAGTGCTCCCATATCTCCCCATTCCACCACCCCCACTCCAGCCTGCCTCCTCGACAGGCACATTTGTAAGTTTGGTTGTTGTGGTTAGGATCTCCC